CGCTGGCCAGCAGGCGCTGGCGGTGCAGGTTCTCCAGCTCCTTCTGGCGGATGATCTCGGCCGACATCTCCAACCTACGGGTGGAGGGAGCATCACGGGGGAGGATCGGGGAGAGACTCCCCAACCGCCCCCCATGACGGGACATGGCTGGACCACCACCCACAATCAACAGGGCTCGACCAACACCCATGACGGGACACAGCTTGACCAACACCCATGACAGGGCATGGCTTGACCAACATCTATGGCCAACATCCATGACGAGACACGGCGTGACCAACATCCATGGCCAACATCCATGTAGGGACACAGCTTGACCAACATCCATGACCAACATCCATGACGAGACACAGCTTGACCAACATCCGGACGGAATGACCAACATCCATGACGAGACACAGCTTGACCAACATCCATGACCAACATCCATGACAGGACACAGCTTGACCAACATTCATGATGAGACACCGCTTGACCAACACCCATGACCAACATCCATGTCAGGACACAGCTTGACCAACATCCATGACCAACAACCATTTAGGGACACAGCTTGACCAACATCCATGACCAATATCCATGACGAGACACACATTGACCAACACGTGCCACATCCTGGCATTTCCTCTACTCTTGGCCACTGCTTTGTCCTCGTGCACGTTCCACCCAACACAGCACCCTGTCTATTCCCAGAAAATGAAAGGGAAAATCTCAACCGGACTCTGTCAGGAAAGACCCCACGTTCTTTACCTTGCCAGGTTTTGCTTTCGTAGCATCTCCTGCTGCCGTGCAAACATCTCCGCTTGTGCTGGCTGGAGGAACCCATAACCTAGGGATGGAGGGAGTACGGACACGGGGTTATTCACACCAGCATGACACGGGCCCCCAAAACCCCGAAGCAGGGAGGAAGCACAGGAGAAAGGACGGCCAAGGCGACCCACTCTCCATGCGCTGCTCTTGGTGGGCCGCACTCTCACCTGGTGTCTGGCACAGAGCTGAAGGCACCCCAAGGAAGGGAGGTCGCAGGTGGGGTCCCAGGGCGATGTGGGGCGCGTTCTGAGGTGACAGCAGGGGCGGCGGGTGGGATATCTCCCTGCAGGAATCAAGAAGGAAGTTAATGGTGAAAACCTGGAGGCTCCGTTACCAGAAAGCCCTGGCTCAGCAAGAACATCCCTTGCAGACGACCTGTGCTGGATGCAGAGGCCCTCCTCACATGAGAAGATGCCCGTTCATCCTTGCACGGAGTTGAGAAGGGGGAGAGAAAAAAGAAAACGTAGAGTCAGAAGGGGGAAAAAGCAGCCAGGACTCCAAACGGGATGGGACCCCTGGGATGGGACCTACTTCCCACCCTCTTGATATCATTGTTTCCCTGGCCTTTCACCTGATCAAAGGGGCTTTGGCTGCTGACGGCTAATGATCCTTGGGTTTGCCTTTTCCCCCAAAAGGATGATTTTATCTCAGCTACCTTCCAACGGCAAAGGCAAACCCAAGGATCGCAAGGAGTTTGGGAGCTGGAGAGGGGCTCTGCGCAGGTTTGAAGGCATCGCTGGCAGAGAGGGAAGCAGGAGGGACGGGAAGGGGACGAGACAGGGCAGGAAGCGCCATGGACCAGGGCTGGGGCTGGAGATGCTGCCCAGGAGAGACCCAGGGGACACGAGGTGACATTGAAGAGGGTTTGGGGTGGGTAAGAGGACGGCGCCCGGAAGCAAAGCAGGTAGACCAGGATTGCAGGAAGAGAAAAAAAGAGAAGACTATGCAGGAAGGGAAGAGGAGCCAAGGTCTCTTCCATTAGTCAAATCTGCCCTGGGAGCCTGCAAGCAAATCTCTGCTTTCCGGCTGCACGTCTCTTAATTCCTTTTGATAGCCACTTACAACATTATTACCTTCACCGGGGCATCCAGAGGCAAAGCCAAGTGCTGTGCCGTTTATTTTCATTTTACAACGTCTCCCTATAAAAATCTGCTTCGGGAGAGTCTGGAGGGCAAGGAAGAGGGAGGAGCAAGAAGGTGACTCCTGCGAGACGCTGCTCCTGCTCTGCGCCCCGGGCGCGTGGGGCTGGGATGCAGGGAGAATCCCACGATCCATGATCCCAGCCCATGTGGCCGGGGTTGCATTCCCACCGCAGCTCCCAAGAACCGTTCTGGGACAAGGGTGGGCCAACAGCTCCATCCAACAGCCGCGATGCCATTTTTGCTCCCTCACAATCAGTGCAAGGAACCGGTTCCTGCTTTTTCCCTGGAATCCTCATTCTCATATATATCATATCCTCATTCTGCGCAAACGCCGCTCCAAAACGCTGCGACGCCCCGGTCCATCAACCCGAACGGGCTGCAATGGCCCCGTTCCCTCCGTCCCCGCCGCCCCCTCCGCGCGCTCCGAGCGCTCCCGTCTCTCCTCCTCGCCTCCTTCCTCCCCTAGCTCTCCTCTAAACTAATTGCCCAGCTCGCCGTGTCTGCAGGAGAGCCGCGCATCGATCGGGCGCTGCTGAAATGTTAATGCTAATCGTATAACCGCTCCGCCAGCGCCTCGCGCGCCGGTGGCAGCTCCAATTAATCTCAGGTAACGCCGCGCGCGACCTTCGCCTCCGCGCCGGGGCAGCAGCCAAGCGATGCTTATGTAATTACACCATGAAGTGTGTAATCACCTGCCCTAATCCCCGAGGCCTCACAATTAGCCGAGGCCTCGGTCGCGGGGCTGCCAAGTGCTTTGCCACCCCGGACAGCCTGCGGATGAATAACGGACAATTAAAGCGGCGTGACGGGGGCTCCGAGGTGCCCGCTCGATCGTAATTAGCTGTAATCATGGGGAGACGAGCCCGGCAGACGTGCTGTTCGTTTTGTAAGGAGCAATTTAGGAAATCACGCTGCTTTTAACCATTGCATGGACAGGCAAGTGGTGGTTGTCCCCCCCCACCAGCTTTTTATAAAGGAAAAAAAGGGGGTTTTGGCACCGGAGGACGGTGCAGAGGAGCCCCCAGGTCCGGGGTGCACGTAGAGAACTTGGAAGGAAATACTAAAAACAAAGAAAGGCTCCTGATTTCCACCAAGGAGAGAAAACCTGTGCTCAGGAAGCAGGAGTGCGATGGGGACGATGAGGAGCGGGACTGGGAATTAAAAAAAATGTATGAGGTTATCACTTTGGCCAAACACTTCCAGGCAAGCTTGGGAATGAACTGGAGCAAAAAGCCACAGAGACCACGACGGCGCCTACCGAGCCGCTAGACCCAACACAAATCCCTGTGCATCCCAACACAAATCCCTATGACCCTTCCCAGGGATACAGGAGCCTTCATCTCGCCTCGGAGGCGCCTTCCTCCTCCTCTTCCACCTCCCAGAGCAAGGGCTGCATTACAGCCCCATACTCCAGGAACAAAAATCCATCCCTGGGCAATTATAGCGGATAAGCCCCGTCCCTGCCTTGCAGGGAGCCCTTCTGTGAACGTTCCTGCATCTTCCTTTCCCCCCATAACCCTATTTTTTTTAATATGCCAGCTGGAGGCTTGTGAGCAGGGTATTAGGGGATTTGCACTGCATGCTGCTAAATTTGATATGTCCTTTAACAGGAGACAAATGGTTCACCAGGCTTAAAAAGTATTGACTTTTCTTTAACAATAAGCGCTAATGGCCTTCAAATAATCAATATTTAAAGTCATTATGGGGTTACACATTATACTGTTAAAATCAAGCCTCTCGCTTTAACCCCATCGTATCCTCCCAAGCCCGGAGCAGCACGTGCCGGGCTCCGAGCACAGGATGGGATGGGGACGTGCGAGAGGGCCAGGAAATGAAGATTGAAAGCGGCAAGGCATGGAAATAAATTTAGAACGGATGGAAGAAGGGGGAAAAAGAGGAATGCACGAGGGCCGTGCTTTCTTCTGCTTTGCATTTGATAGGAAGAGACACTCTAAACCCGAGGTAATAGGCGAGCAGGACACGGCTCCCTGCTGCTTCGCCATCCACAGGCGCCAGGAAGGGAAGGAAAATAAAAGGACTTTCTAAAAATGGTATTTGGGATTTCCGGGCACGGAGAGACGGTCGGTTCCGTGCTACCCTGCTGGGGCCTGCGCCCATGGGGACCACAGGAAACCTCTCCCTTGGAATCCAGGCTGGAGTTAAATCCGAATTGTTCGGATCAGATCGAGCTCCCTGCCGGCCGCTCTGCAAGACATTCCAACTGGGATGTGCGGAGCAACCGGAGGAACAGAGGAAGGTGGATGCAGCCTCAGAGCAAAGGGAGCGACGTGTGGGATTCAGTGTGCCCAATCCCTTCTGTTTTCGGAGTATAAACGTTTTTCCCTAAACAGGGAATGTTGGTCTTCCCGGCCTTCCCAGTCATCAGGATCCAAACCACCCTGCATCTCTGTCCTTCACCAGCAAAGGCAGATGCCACCCAAGTGGCAATAGCAGGGACACCTCTTTCTTCCCAAGTGCTAATCATCTCCCGCCTGCTCCGCTCCAGGAAACGGGAATGTTGTGTCTGCAGATCCCTGTCTCTGCGAGGGAGCAGCACCCACCCGGGTGGATAAACGTGGCTCATCCAGGTGGGTTTCCCCCTTGCCTCGCTGCAGAACCAACCCCATCCCACAGGGAAGCTGGAGTGGAATTCCAACAGGGAGCCAAGGAGCTCAGATCCCCCTGCGACGTGCGTTATTCCCTCCGCTCCCAGGAAAGGAGATGCCGTAAATCCACCTGCAGTTTGCCTGCTCAGGCGAGCCGGGTCTCTCATTCCCTCCTCCTCTGCCTACCTAAACCTTGAAAAATTCCCACACCTTCGTAGTAAACGTGCACAAAGGCTGCTTGGATTTACCTTGCTGACAAAGACCCTGGCAGGCAAATACAGAAGCCAAGGCCAGCAGCAACAGGGAGAAAAGAAGGGAAAAATTAACCCCAAGAGTGCGTTCCTGCTCTGCAACCCCTCAAAGGGCACGTGGAAACCCCTGCAAAACAGCACGGAATGGTCTGAGTGGGACAGCTCTGGCAGGACGCCTGGGCCCTGCCACCCGAGCATCGCTCTGCTCCAGAGCCTGCTTGGCTCCAACCCCCCGTGCTCCATCCCCATCTCATTCATTTGCAGTTTGCGCCTCCTCACGAGCAACCTCCGCCCTTCCTTCCGCACGCGCTTCCCTCCCGCTGGCCTGGCGCTTTTCCAGGCCACACAGCGCCGGAGCGGCGTTCCCGGCGAGCGGCCGCGCTGGAACGCATCCCTCCCCGCATTCCCGACAGGTCTGCCTGCAACCCGCGCGGGCTTTTACGAGCTGGGTTAGCCAAAGTCCACCCTGCAGGGAAAGGGTTTACCAGCTCCGACCCGCTGCACACCTCGTGGTCAGGAAGAGGGAAAAACAGATGGATCTCCAAGGCTGTAAAGTGAGAAAAACGTCTCCAAAGCCGACAGGCGCACATATGTGCTGCAGAATTAGCATTCCAGCCTGCCGTGCAACCTAAGGCAGAAGCCAGAAAAGTCAAAATGTTGGAGCCTTGGAAGGCTTGTCCCAGGATACGCGCGGGCTCTACATCCCCCAACGGCCAGACCCTTTTCCGCTTCTCCCATCCGCTGCTATCCTCGCCAGGAATGCACACCGCTTTGATTTCTTTTCCCTGCAAAACACCTCATTGCAGAGGGACTGGCTCAGGGCACAAAGCAAGCCAAATGAGCCAGAATTTCCCGGGAGGGAGCGAAGGGAGTTTTCCAGCGCTCCCACCAGCGGGAAGGGCAAGGCTCACCCCCTCCTTTCCCAAAAAACCCAAACTCCTCCTCGCTCTGCTCCACGTCAGGGCGTTTGTTCCCTCTGGCTCTTCCCGGGGAAGTGATGGAGCGCTACATCCAACAGCTCCGCTTGCTCCGTGCAGACGGGCCAGAGCCTAGAGCCCGCTCTGGAAACCCGGCGCACGGCGTTCCCGCCGGGAAGGCGCCCCGGGAAGCACGAGGGCGTCCCCGGAGCGCGGCCGGTACCTGTCGGGGAAGTGGCTGTCGCGGTGCTGGGGCAGCCCCTGCTTCCTGCGCTGGCTCGACGAGTTTCCAGCCGCCGGGATGTGCGCTTCCATGGCTCCCCCGCGGCGCGCCGCCCCCCCCCCCGCCCC